TGGGAAACAGACTTCCGTTTTGATGGAATCAGGCAAAGGTGTCTTACTTTGGACGGCAATATCTGCTGATGTGACCACAGTAGCATACAGTTTCCCGTAAAGGTAGTCGGTACATTTATCTAATTCGGAAAGATGATAGGCCAAAATTTGAAAGTTATTCGACTCGTGATCTTCAAACTGCGATTCAAATATCTGACAACAATTCAAACGATCTACCTACCCAGCTCATAGACAGCAACTCGCCAACCCAACAAAACGTGTCACCTTTATTTGAGAAGCAAGCATTTTAGGTGAACAAAGCACATTATTTCTCAAGTTAGTCGGTGATAATTTGAGATAATAAAAAACTTACTTAGCCAATAAATTCTTTGGAGTCTCGTTCATCAGTTCAAGCAAAACTTCTTTCAAAACTAGAGGAGGCCATTTGCTACGGTTTTCCAGGTCTTTGATGTTCTAATAACATTCGATCGCACTGACAAACAATTAAACAAACATTTACGCACTCGTTTCTCCAGCATAGGAGCCAATTTGCTGTAGAATATCTCGCTAGGTCTTGAAAACGTCACGTGACTAGTATTCATGGTTCCCTGTAACCAACTCTTAGAGCAAGGCACCGTATCTCAAATGCAGTATTTTACCTCTCGCAGTTGCCACTTCTTGTACAGGCTGAACATAGGCACCGAATTTTCCACCCACTGAATGAGACCCGACCTATGTCCTAATGGTGTAACGGAGTAACTGCGAGCGAAGTACTGCATCTGCCGTCCAGACCTGAAAAAGAAACAATCAGTCAGAAAGAAGGAAACAATTTAGTACTGTTCGTTCTCGTATCCCAAATACAATTTATAGTGGTAAAAAGTTAGCCATTTCTAGCAAATGAGGAGTAAGCCAAACTCTGCATGATCGGTTAGCTTAACCATTCAAAAAACCGAATACATCACCGACCGTCAGCAAGTCGCAGTGATGAACAAGAGAGGTGGAAATTTGTGTTCAGAGAGATTCTGGCTCGTCTGAAACGATGTAACGGCAAATTTATAAGTAAAAAGACAAGTTTATAAAGTTCATAAAGTCTCGTAGAACTAGCAATGCTACTGACACAACAATTAGGAAACTTGAGTACAAACAGCTCAAAGTGATAAGCAACGAACAACAGGCAGTCACTTGAGATGGCATTGTTATCTCTGAACAAAGAATGACGGGCAGATATGGAAAAATTCTCCTCAAAAATTTTTGTTTAATTCTGTTTTCAGATGTAAAGAAGTGGCATGTGAAACAACCAAATAATCGTCATACTACTTGTTCGCCAGGATGTGAAAGTATGACAAGACAAAAGAATAGCATAAGTAACAACAGCAAACAATTACTTAAGCTGTTTTTCAAAAAGAATGTTGCACGTGTTCAGAAACTGCATGATTCTTTCGTCCAGATGCAAGTCTTCCAAACCTTTCAACAGATAAAAGTACCTAAACGAAACGAAGTCAACATCGTCTGCTGACAAAGGATCACCTAATGGCGAGCGAACTTTTTGCCATCATTGCCGATGAAACTTAGCTTCTTCGGTCTGGTCTTCGTCGGCAGAATCGTCGTGCCCTCATCAATGCCATATATGGTGACTGGAGTGTCGCTGCCACCGATGCCCGGAATGGGGATATCTGTGTTTCGCAGCTCGGCCAGTAGCGGACTAATCTGCTTCATGCGAAGAATCCAGTTGTTTTTTCTGTTATTGCGCTGCAGTAAAGTGATCAGCAACTGAAAGATTGGCATTTCACCCAGTCAAGCAGGGCAAGAAACAAAATACTGACCTGCCGAAAGCCATCCCACGCTTCCTGGGGTTTGATCGATTTACTCTCCAACTTCGACAGAATTTTCTTTATCACAGGGCAGTAACTTTCATCAAACTGTTTTTCGTTCGCCGTTTCGAAACAGCTCGATGTTATGTCTAGCATACTGTACAACGGTTCGAATATCTACAATAGTGAGAAATAGCTGCTGTGTAAAAGCAATTTCAACTGTGATGCAAAGGCGGAAAAGATACAGGAATATTATCAAGACAACAAAACAGCACACTAAAACAATTTCATACGCAACCTGAACGTCCAAATCGCAAAATCGTTTGAAAGAATGACTTAAGCAGAGAGGTTTGCCAGCAAGAGCAACAAAAATTTGTCATGGGCAAAACATGTGACGCATGACCAGTACAATGGAATGACGAATGTCACAGAAACGAGCTAAGTATAGGATCCATCCATTGCAATCCCAGATCTTACCCATTATGAACAATCGAACCAAATGACTTAATTTAACCGATATGAATAACTTGTGAACAGACAAAACAGCATCATACTGCATCAACGTTCAGGCAATTCGACTACTGCCCTTACCATTTTTGTTACGATCTCCCTTTTCTCGCTAATAATGTGAGCTTTTTCATCGGTGGTCAACGACTCGTTCTGTTCAGTAGATCGTATGCTTTCTTCTAGCAGCTTAAACCGCTTGGTGACTTCATTCTGCATGTTGCTGAGTGCCGCAAGCCATATCTCTTCGCGCAGCAGGGTGATCCGGTGCAGTTCTCGTACGAACAAATTCATGTCGCTAATGAGTTTCGGGTTTCTACCGCGCAAACTGTCGACTATACGCATATAACATTCTTTAACGGCTGCTTCTGGACAACATCGATTAGTTTTTCTTAAACAAACGGCCAACGTAATACCTTCGCCACATGAGCAGTCTTTCTTGTTTATCGCGAGATTATTGAAATGATCGATATGATGGATGATTTCAGCTTCGCACGTTTTCCTCCCACGTTCTTCACTATCAGAAAAAGACGCATCTGGAAGAAAATGAATAAAACAACTGGGAATTTCATATAACTAGCAGTATAAGTTTCTTTACTGAACAGCTACCATAAACGTCACTGGACATCACTGGAACCAGATAATAAACGGTCAGTAAAAACACTCAATCGGAAATCATTGAAAACGGTGCCAAATTAAGACTAATTTTAAGTGAAGCTTGCCCTTGAGGATAATTAATAACCTTTGTATGTTAAGTGAAATAACAACTCGGAATGTTAAATAAGTAAGCATACGTAAAATTTTTCCTAGCCAGGAATTCTACAATTTGTGCAACAGCTAGTGCTAACAATCTTATACGCAAGAGTGAAATTTCAGACTGCAAACTAGGCGAGCAGTTTACAACTCACATTTCAAATTTTGCACACTTACTAACGCACAGCGGCATATTTTAATGCGAAACAGCTCTTTCTAGTAATTCGTTCGATTCCTTGTTGTTAAACTGCAACAAGACTGACGTCCATTCAGTTGAAACAACAGTGTAAGTCGCTACAAAATTTTCTTCGTTTTACCCACTTTACCATGTTGACTAAAGGCGGAATTCCTTGCAACGAGGAACATGACCTGTGCCGCAGCAATCAGTGTTCCCTAAATAATTGTGAGGAGCCAAAGCGTCAGGCATCATTAATCTGGGTACTTCGTCCTTGACCATGAAACTATATATGATGATGACAACAACAACAATCATGCAGCTGAACTGAAACGATGAATAAACAACACTGATAATTAGTTTAGTATAGTATCAGTAAACAGAACTCCATCAAAATGAATTCTGAAAAGTTACAACACCTGTAATTTGCACCTAGATAAGAAAGGTCTCATTTATATACACCACAGCTAGACGCTATCCGCTGTGAACTGACGTAAGTTGCATTATTTTACTGTCTAGAGTAATAACCTGTTCCTCACCGATGATGTCTCAGAAGCCGATAGTTACACCTTTTCGCTAAACATCATAAATACAGTTTCATCTGTTGGAGGTACGGTAATATACACATCAGCTAAAAAAATAGTCTGATGGCGAACACCGCATCTTGTTTCGAGATAATCAGGGTGCCATTTAAGCAGACAAAGGTTTCATAGTCGCGGAACACTTGCATTACATAGATATATTTCGCTTAATCTATTGACTTTAACGAAATATGCTTCATAAGTGATGACATACATCTACACACTGCAAGAGCGAGTGCATCATGTAAATGCGAACTACTTAAATGACCCTCTGAGCATCCAGAAGAAATGGGACGGCAAAACAGCGCCGTGCTCGGTGTGATGAAACTATGCATTTTAAAACATTTCCATAGCGAACCCAGTTTTTAACATCGCTAATATAACACACAATGAGTACTGATTTTTGAAACGTCACTAATGATAAGCTAGATACTGTTCTACGTAATAAAATGATCGTAAAGGCATCGATGCTCTGCAGATACTGCCCTGGAACGATAGCCTACGTCAATGATCTGCTGAAAGACAACCTAGAGCAAGAGATTTGTGCCAGAAAGTCGTGAAGCCAATGGACCG